TCAGCAGAGCCCTAGTCCTGTTGCATGTGTGCGTTTCGGTCTCAGGGCTGTCAGTTATGAGCACAGAGCTGGAAGGTTTTTACCAGTGAGCTGTCTTGGTATTGCCTTTGTGAAGAGGGAATCTTTTGCATCACAAGTTCAACTATAACTGGAGTGATGGAGATAATTAGGTCGGTACACAGAGTAAGTTAAAGAACCTGGTAGATTTTGTCAACTGTCTTTTTTTATAGGGAAGTATTCACTATACTTGTTATGCACAGTAGATTTCAGAACAGTCCAAATAAAAAAGTAGAGTGAAAGAACTTAAATGTATCTTGAATTAGAAAGCAGGTCTTCAGGCTTTTGGGTAATAGTGGTGTGCAGGGCAATTCTGGATTTCTTATGGTGATGCAATAATGAAAATGTAATTTGATTTCTTTTTTTTTTTTTAAATTAGCACTAGTCAGAATTTTAGTTAATGGGAAATCGAGAAGCATAATGGATTGTAATGAAACCCACTGCTTTGCTGTGCTAATAGACTGGATGCTTGCTTGCAACTTTTTATTTTATTTTTTTTCTTCACTGGGAGGATCATTGTGTAACTGTTTAGTAGTATATTTTATTTACAGCTGGGGATGTCTTGAGTGGCAGTTATTCAGGAACAGTTCTTCCATTCGTTCTTGCATTGGGATATTTTTGCCTTTTCAGGAGAGGAGTTTTCTCTCACCCCACTTCTTTTCATGCCACTTTTTTCTGATGCTTTGCATTGTTAGTATCTCAGAAGTGGAATGCTTACTGTAGCTGTTCTGCCATAGGTGGTGGCTTGTCAGGAAGCACATTCTCTGAGCTGGTAGAATTAGGTTGTTAAAGAAGCTCTCAAGACTGGTAGAGTTAACCATACTATAGTTGTACTGTCTGTTGGTGCTCTAATAAAGGAGAACTCTGCATGAAAGTTGTATTATCATCATCATTATTATTGTTGTTATATGCCTTTAGAGACCACCATTTATGCCACCTCCCATGGGTAGCATGCCACCACCTC